CTCTGCCTCCCGAGTGCTGGGATTAAAGGCATGTGCCACCACCGCCCAGCTTCCTTTGCCCATTTTTGTTCTCATATGAAGCCACCTTAAATAAGTCACATATGTAAGGATTGTATTTACGACTCCGCCAAGGATGTCACTTGACCTCCAAGTAGGAAGGGCAGAAAACTCTCTGGATGCTTTAAGTAAGAAACACGTGATACAGCACATACTGGAACTGAAGGACGAGTGTGAGAAGCAGACAGAAGATGAGAGGAGCCAGCACATGATGGACCCCAGGAACAAGAGCAACACTGAAGAACTGATGTAGGAACAGGACCCAAGGTGGTTAGGTTTCCCACTGCATGGAACAAGTGCATGGTACAGGCCCAGGCTGAGGTAAGGCAAGGATGTTCTATTCCTGCTAAGCCTCTGTTCTTCCCAATAAATCTTCAGCCAGCTGAGTTCACCGTCCAGTAAAGGAATCTCCTTTCATATTGCCTGTTTGGGTGAGATTTGCACACATAAGCCCTTTCCTTTTCCTGGAGGAGCAGAGCTGTGGCTGTGGCCTTGGCCTTGCGTTCGACACTACCATCATTCATCAAAGTGGATGTGGAAGACAGGTGACTACGTTCTCTGCTTGGGTAGACGGCCTTCCTCAGAACTTAGAACCTGCAGCCTTTTCCAAATAGGAGGTAGTTGATCATTCTACCCAGTCCTGTGTTTGCTCAAGTGTCTACTTCCTAAAATACACACAAGTCAGAGTCCTAGCCCTGTCTCCCTCCCATGCCTAGGCCTACCCCTTCCCACCAGAAGGTAGCCATCCTTACCTTGGTTGGTTCCTCACAGTATCTCTGTGAACAAGACCGAGCAAAGCCCTTCATTCCTGAAGAGAATAAACACAGGCTCCCGCCTCGGCCTGCCCGCTGGAATTCTCACTACTGTTGCAGCCCGCCAGGCTGCATCCGAGACATTTTCCAAAGTAAGTTCAATTGTCCTGCCAATGGGGCTCAGACTGGATTCCTAGTTTCTGAGAATTTGCATGGCCACAGTATGAGTCTCTGATCTAATATTCAAATGAACTTGATAACGAGGTTGCCTGCCCCAGGGTCCTTGCCAAGCTGCTGTTGCTGGCGTCGCCTCTTGGGGTCACTGATGTCTCCTCTTGGGGTTACTGGTGTCTCCTCTTAGGGTCCATGTCTTGGTCTGCTTTTGTCTGGGGTACGGCGATATGGACTGGAGGGAGCTATGGGTTGCATTCAGATCCTTGTATCCATACAGCCCTCCCTCTGCTCCTGCTCTCTATAAAGCTTGACTTGTTGCTTTCCATCTCTGTAATGGCACAGAGGTTGAAAAATACCCCAGCCATGAGCTACTCTCTGGAAACTGCTGGTGTAACTTCATCTGGAGACAGGGCCGTCCTGAGAGATGGATTAAGGATCTTAAGATGAAGAGATTTCCCTGGTGGTTTTCAACGCTGTCACAAATGTCCTTACAACAGGAACACTGCAGGAGAGGACACATGCAGAAGAATCAGTAATATGACATGAGAGGCAAATGGCTAGAAGCTGAAGAGTGACCGTAGCTCAGCATTTGAAGCGGAGAGTCTCACTACTGGAGTCTGATTGTCCTTCTCCCCAAATTTAGATGTTGAAGGCCCGGGCCCAGTACCTCAGAATGTTACTATCCTTGGAGAAAAGACTTTTAAGAAGTGATTAAATCAAAATGAGGAAGGAATGAGACCTATGCCCTGATATGGAGAAGAAGAGACACCCAGAGGGAAGCCATGTTTGGTCAAGGCCAGGAGAAGGCAGCTGTCTACACACCAAGGAGAGAGGTCACGAGGGAAGCAAGCCCTAAAAGCCTTGGTCTTCATTTCCCAACCTCAGTAATTTCTGCTGTTTAAATCATCCTGCCTGTGGCTCTTTGTTATGACAAACTTAACCAATGAATATGCCCGCCAACACCGTGATTTTGACCCAAGAATGCTGAGTTCAGGCATCTGGTCTCCAGAATATGAGGACTAAGTTTCTGTTATTTCATGACACCCAAGTGGTGGTTCTCTGTTATGGCAGGCTCATAAAACTAATGTAAGAGATGGCATCTAGCTGACGGCTGGTTCCATGATCAAAGGGGTCACGGGGGGACCTGTGTGGTGGTGGGTCAGCACTCTGCACATTTTAGTTGCATCTGAATTTCTTTCTTATAGAGACTGTTTTATATTTCCTTCTTCTGCCAGAGTAGAAGAGGAAAAAAAAACACACACTGGCCATAATGGCTGTTAGGGGCCGTTGTCTAGGTTATACTTTGTTGTTTATTTCCTGCCTTGATAGTCCAGCTTCCTTTAATGAACCCCATTGATCAGGGCTCCGTGGAGAGCCAAAATATTGTCTGCTCTTATACTTGTTATTCAAAGTTTGTTTGTCCTAATACTTCTTAGCAGTGGCCGTAGCTAGCAACATAGAGTACTTACTTTCTACAAGGCTTTCTGCTAATCACTGCACCTAAATGTTTCATTTAATCTGTTTGAGAGCATCTTTAGTACAGATAGTGTTGTTATAACCTTAAAGATAGGGAAGTTGAGAGGATTGTAAAAATGGCTCAGTGGTTAAGAGAACTTGATTCTTTTTCAGAGGGCCCAGGTTCAGTTCCCAGCACCCACATCTAGCAGTTCACAATTGCCTATAACTGCAGTTCCAAGAGGTCTGGCATTTTCCCTCTTCTACATGGGCACTCCATGCACACGGTACATGTACACACACTCAGACACACACTTACACATACTAAATAGATGATAGATAAATAGATAGATAGATAGATAGATAGATAGATAGATAGATAGATAGATAGATACATACATACATACATACATACATACATACGTACATACATAAACAGTCAGACAGACAGACAGGGAAATTGAGACATACAAGGGTGAAAGACTTTGCCCAAGGAAGTAGCAGAGTTGGAAGATAAAACCAGGATGCAAATACCTAAGTCTGAACCCTTACTTATCATTCAACTTCAAGAGGAAGTTCAGGGATTCATTTTGTCTTAGTTAACTCCAACGTTCCACTATGAGTTTGAGCAGCCCTGGACTCAACAGATGAATGGATGGGTAAATGGATGGATCTATACATAAATGAATGGATTTTAAAGGCAGATGGAGAGACAGAGGAATCCACAGCGGATGGATGGATGGATGGATGGATGGATGGATGGATGGATGGATGGATCGGTGAGTGGATGGATGGATGACAGGACTTCTTGCATCTCAAAGGAAAGCTAGGAAGATGTTCTTCAGGACTGTTTTGAGCAAGTTCTCTCAGCTTAACTCCATTACAATTGCTTCTTCCGCAGACCAACCTCTCTGTTCTTGGCCTCTGTGATGCTGGTACAGGCGATGACTGCATTGAAGCAAGTTCCTCTGCCTTCCTCATCCATTCAGCAGTTACCTGGTCTCCTCCATCCGTAAGCATGTAGATGAAGAGACTGGAACTCTCAGAAGCCTAGTGAGAAAAGTGGATCCAATGAAACTGTCGGAATTGTGAGGGGTCATGGACACATGAGGCAGTATTGCTATTCAAGTGTACAGAAGAAGAAAACTAGGTCTAGGGTTGTTAAAAATACTTGCCCCCATATCACGGGAAAAGGTGGTGTCATCATTTACTCTCACTTTCCTGTTCTTTCTACACCCCGAGTCAGTGAGAAAGTACCCTGACTCAGAAGGGAGAAGCCAGGGCTTCCAAACCTGCTTCAAATCTGAGCATTTATGGGATGGTAGGTTATGCAAATGGTATAGACAGAGTTCTTTGGCCTGTACAATGAGGCTCTCTAAGGCTCAGGCTCTACCTGACCTCACCAACCTGGATCCTAAGATTCCAGGGAGAAAAGTCCTAATTGTAGAGCTACATACTGCAGAAACTGACATGCACGGACTTTATCTCATCTCCTTAGACCTATCAGGCCAGGCCTTTTGTGGGTGTTATGGGCCTCGCTCAGGGAGTGGACCTGAGAGAGGCCCATAACACCCTTAGAGTCAAGGACATATTTACCTGGCAGTTATAATTGCACATTTTCAGTTGTCCCTCCCTTGTGATGGAAGCCTGGCCACCATGGAAACTAATCTCTTTTCTAAAGTATGTATTTCATACCTTAATCCCTACCAGGAATGCTCTCCCATGTGCCTTTCTTCTAAACATTTTTTCCCTCTGTATAGGCTGTCCTGGAACTTTCTCTGTAAACCAGGCTGGTCTCAAACTCACAAAGGTCTGCTTGCCTCCATTTTCTGAGTGCTGGGATTAAAGACATGCATCACCGCTGCCTGGCTCTTCTAAATTTTTAAAGCACATCTGAATGGAGTGAAACAGCATTTTGACCAGGAATTTGCAGTTGCATTTTCACTGACCTTTAAGGAAGCATGATCCCAAACTCTAGAAGAAGATTTCCCACACCTTGGCATTGCTTATACCATGGCCAAATCATTCTGTGGACATGTATTGACACATAGCAAAAAGAGATAATCTGCAATGTTGCTTTCTGAAACATAGTGCTGTGGATTATACTCATTGTTGATAAAACATGGACTGGCTAGTAACCAAGCAAAAAGTATAGGCAGGGAGATCAGACTGAGGATGCTGGGGGAAAGAAAGGTGGAGTCAGAGAGATTCAAGCCAGTCACCACAGAACGAGATGTGCTAGAGGACATATAAAGCCATGAGCCACGTGGCAAAACATAGATTAATAGAAATGGTTAATTTAAATGTAAGAGCTAGTTAGTAACAAGCCTGAGCTACCAACCGAGCATCTCAAATAATATAAGCCTCTGTGTGGAAATTTGGAAGTGGCTCCTGGGATGGAAAGCTCCTACAACATGAAGCACAGTGAACATTTATGTAGGCATGCACAATGACAGTGCCCAGTGGATCAGCTGTGGTCACGACTTTCCATCTTCCACTTGGAAATGGCTGCCCTCAAAAACATGCCATCCTCTGGTAAATTGTTTGTTGTTATGGAATTTTTCTTCAGATGAAACAAAACAAATGAGCAGAAAAACATTGTAGACATTCCTAATAAATTTGTTAGAATGTACAGATAAGGTCTTGAGTCTACAACATGTCTGAAAATGGCACAAGACACTTGGAGAAGGGTGAGGGAGTGACCGGGCTGGCTCAGGCCAGAAGGTAATTCTCCATATTTGAAGCCAAGAATACATTAAGTATGTCTGGGACTAACTGGATCCATGGGAAGAAACTTGAAATCACGACTGAGTCCTGGGTTCGTCTCCTGATGGGTTGTGGCTCTCACATTCCCCTATATGACAGTTTCCTAAGAGGGGAATGGATCACTGTGACATTGGCCTATGATGAATCACGCCTCCCTGTGCTCACTTCCCTTTGCTATGTAACTTTGCAGGTGCTTCCATCATGAGCTGCAGTCTGTTCCCCATCCCGTGAACCTGGGCTGGCCTTGTGAGTTGCCTTGAACGTCAGAACTGATACTCTGCAACCCTCTGGATGAGGACTTCGGTGGTCTCCGGGATTGACATTCACTCCTCTGGGACACTGTCATTGCCACCACAAAGAGGCCCAGTCCAGCCTCCTTGAGGACAGGACCACAGCAGAGAGCGACCTGGCCTTCTTCAGTGTCACCACCCACCCACTGGAGGGATCCGCAGAACTTTCTGCGTGCAGCTGTGTGGAAGGACCTAGGGTTACCGAAGTAAGATGAAGCCAAGGACTCACCGAATTGTAAAAAATGATAAATGGCATATATTGGAAGCCATTAAGTTTTGGGGTGGTTCGTTATGTGGCAATAGACAGATGAGCAGCTTACTAAAAGGTTGATTTATTTAATTACTCATTCTTGTGTGAACGAGTGTGGTGTGTGTGTGTGAGTGGTATATGCACATTATGGTATAGTCACTGTGTACACAGGTAGCAGCCAGAAGAAGACATTGCGTGGCCTGCTGTCTCTCACTCCATCTTATTCCTTGAGGCAGGGTTGTCTCACTGAACTGGAACTGGACTGGCAGATCCTCCTGTCTCAGCCCTCACAGAACTGAGGGTAGACAGCCACAACCAACTTTGTATGTGAGTGCTGAGAACCTTATGCCTACACTGTAAGAACCCTCACACACCGAGCCATCTGCTGGGTCTAAAAGAGACTGTTTTTAGGAAACTCCCTGGATACAACCTCTCCATGTGTCCATCCAATCACAGCAAGGCCCTCCCTTTCCCCAGGGGTGACATGATTCCAGGTTTCCCCTCCTTTTACTCTCCCCAGTTCCTCCCTACCTCCCTTCCCATGCAGATCCACCCTGATTCTGCCTCTGGTTAGGAAACAACCCGGCATCTAAGGGAGGCCTATCTGTTGATCATCTACTGCTGGGCATGCAGCCTTTGCTCAAGAGTAGCTGGTTTCTCCAGTGAGAAGTTTGTTTCCCCAGGAAAACAACTGAATTTTCATTTGCAAGTGGTTGTCAACTGGAAAGAACTTTTGGGTTAGGGATGTGGGTACGTGTTCACTTCTTCCAGCTCTAGGACTCCATCTGGTGCAGACCCATGCCGGCCCTGCTTCAGTCTCCGTGAGTTCCTATGTATCTCAGTCCTGTTGATTCAGAGGGCCTTATTTTCTTGGTGCCATCCACCCCATCTGACTCCTAAGCCCTTTCTATCTCCTTTTCCTAAGGGCTCCCTGAGGCCTGCGGAGAGGGATTTGATGGAGACATCCCATTTAGCACCTCTGAGTGCTCAGAGGTCTCTCACTCTTTGCATATTGTCTGGCTGCAGGTCTCTGTGTTTGTTCTAGTCTAGAACTTTTCACATTCACCCGTTTATATTGTGTGGTATTAAACATAGATGGTATCAACTTATCAATGATACAAGAGTTGGAACAGTTTCAGGTGTTGGATATATGGAATCTAATCAATTAATTCTGTCTCCCCACTTCCTCTCTCTTTCCTCACTGACACCCTGATGTCTTTCTTGGGCCAGTGCCTGCTGGATGTATGTCTGATTACAAGAGAAGAGACTGATTCTGAAATGTTACCAAGCTCCAGAGTACACGAAAGTCTTCCTCTACCCAGTAAAATACGTTGGCACCACTAGTGTCATCTAGAACAGTCTTTCTGGCCAAGAGAAAGTGGAAGTTCCATAAGAACTTATTTCCCATCCCCTGACACCTCTCTCTCTCTCTCTCTCTCTCTCTCTCTCTCTCTCTCTCTCTCTCTCTCTCTCT